CACAAAGTGTTTTTAGAAATCTGTTATGCTAGACTGTCGTTGTGAGGTAGGGGATAAAGACACCATCTGCCGTACTGGCATCCCATGTGGGAGGCCAGGAGGAAGCTCCTAGCTTTGGACTGGCCCAGCTTTGGCCTCTGGCCAATGCAACCATCTGGGGAGTGACCCAGTAGGTGGAAGATATCTCTCTCTCTCTGTGTAACTCTGCCTTTCAAGTAAAATAAATAAATCTTTTTATATATTCTTTTGAAAAATGTTTGCTGTTGTTTCCATGGTTGACAAGAATGCAGGCCCATGAGGACCATCAAATAGGGTGGGGAGGGTCAAGGCACAGGGGAAGGTGGGTTAGGCAAATGCTTCTAATTTTTTTCCCCTTTTCTCCTGTACCTGAGTGGGGGAAGGAGGAATAGAGAGGGGTCCCAGCTGCCAAACTTACATTAGTACCCAGGGATGAGAATGTCCACTTGATATCATCTTAGCAAACCTCATTAGGTTTGCTCCTGCTTGGGGGTCTAACATGTGCTAGTGGATGTTATGGCCCATTTTGCCTGCAGGTGCTACAGCCTAACTCCACTTGGCCTGCCCCCCAGTCCCAGCTCATGCTGGTGGGTGCTGCAGCCTAGCCCAACCCAGCCAATCACCAGTTCTGGCCCTAATGTGAACTGACAGGTGTTGCATCCCAACCTGGCTTGGCCTGAACCTCATCTTGACTCCCATACCTGCCAATGGGTATTGCAGACTAGGCCAGCCTGGCCTGCCCACTGATCTGACCCACATGTATGCTGACCAGGCACTGTAGCCTGGCCTGACCTGCCCTCAGCCTTGGTTCTCACACTCACCAGGCAGGGCTGTGTGCTAATAAGCTCCCCTATCAGACCAACTCCCAGACGTGGATCTTACACACACAGGTGGGTGTTTGGCTTGATCTAACTTGGCCCACCTCCAGTCTTGACCTTCACTGGTGGGTACTACAGCCTTGTCAGATCAGCCCACACCTTCTCTGGCTCGCATTGCTGGGTGCTATAGCCTAGCCCTGTCCGGCCCATCCCCAGACCTGGCCTCTCATGTGGATCAGCAGGTGCTGCAACCTAACTCAGTCTGTCCCACACTCACTGCTCTCATGAGTGCCAGTGAATTCTGGACCTTATCCCAGGCCTAACCCACAAATGCTGATGAATGTCATAGCCATGTTCAGCCCAGCCTACCCCCTTTCCTGCTCTCATGTTCACCAGTGGGAACAGCAACTCAGTAGTCACATGTCCTTAGCTCCCTTGCCAGGCCCGCTCCAGCCACAGAATTTGTATATGCCAATGGCTGTTCTGACCCAGCCTGGTATGGCCTAACCCTCTTGGTCCTTGCCATTGGGTGTTACAGCCTGGCTGGGCCCAGCCCGCCCCCATCCCTGGCTCTTAGGCAAAATGGTGGGTATGATAGCCTGGCCTGACATGGCCCATGCCCCTTCCTGGCTCCTGTATATGCCAGTGTATGCTATGGTTTGGCCTCGCCCTGCCTGGTCCGCCCCTCAAGCCTGCCTACACCCAGCCCTGACTCTTGTACTCACCAGTGGAAGCTACAGCCTAGGAGGGGAGTTCTCTAAATTCCTCCACCAGATTCACTCCCAGGCCTGGAGCTCACACATGTCAGTAGTGCCAGGCTCCTACCCAGTGTAGTCTGGCCCTCCAGTCTCGGCCTTTATGTGTGCTAGTGGATGTTGTGGCCCGGCCTGCTCACATTAAATTTCTGGGTGCGCCCATGGATGCTGTAGCCTGGACCAATTCGGTCTGTTCCAACCTTAGTTTCCATGAGTATTGGTGAGTGTTGTGGTCATGCCTAGTTCAGCCCATTGTCACCCCTAGCTCACGAGCAAACCAGTGGGTATTGAGTTCCACAGGGCTAAGTCCACAAATCGCCCACAGAGCCTGCCCTCAGACCCAATCCTCTTGATGTCAGTTAGTGTCCAGGCCCACCCCCTGCCCCAACACTTGCAAGTACTGTGGTTTAGCTTTGCCAGGCAGGCTCCCAGCTCTGGTGGGTGGTGGTCAGTACCAACTAGCCCAGGTACGGTCTCCCCTGTGAACAGGTGAATTGAACTGACCCAGAAAGGTCCTCCAGGACCCTCCTTCAAACCACCCGGCCTTGGCTGCCTCATTTACCTGCAAGTACAGTAGCCTGTTCAGTGGAAGTTCCCCAGAAGTCACTCCCCACTTGTACCATTCTCCTCCAGCGGTCCTCCATCTCACATATGCCCATATTCCCTTCCCGAGCAACCAACAACTTCGATGCGCTCAAGCACATGGGACCCCCAAGCCCAATCTTCTGGCAGTGTGGCATACCAGTCTGAGGCCTTGTCCACCTGCAAAGGGCCCATACACGCTCATATGTAGGTTGGGTCCCCAGACCCTGTCTGCTGCTGTGCCAGCATTTGCTCCCAATATCTTTTTTAAAAAATAAAATGGGCAACTATGCTAGCATACTGATATAGTTAACACAAACTTTGCATTAACCACTAGCTGCATGGCCCCAGCTGCAATGGCAGGGAGTGAACCAGCGGATATAAGAACTCTCTCTCATTCTGCCTTTCAAATAAATTCTCAAGATGATCTTTTTTAAAACTTTGAATTTTAATAGGAACAAAACCCTCTCAGTCGGATTGCATGGAGAAATTTGATTACAACTGTTGCCAACAAATGCGGGTGAAGCAGCGCCAGCTTGCCGGTTTCTCATGCTTGTGACTTGGGAAAAGACAGAAGAGGGCAGGCACAGGTATCTCTGCGGCATGCCACTGCCCTCCAGGGGCACAGCGCCGGGCACCTGCTATCCTCAGGCATGCCAGTGTCGAGACCGCCCCCTAGGGGGCGCTGGCAGACCTGCGGCAGTCGCCCGCTGCCCTCCCACCAGAAGAGGGGTTCCCTAGGGGGCTGCAGGATCCCAGACAGCTGCAACAGAAACCCGGTCAACCTGCCCCTGCCTAGGTGTCTGAGCCAGGCCCCTTCCTCAGGAGACCTCAGCCAGGCCCCCTTGGGTGTCCAGAACCTTCCAGCTGGCCTTCTGATGGGCAGGGAGGAGGCAGGGAGGCCCTTCCCCAGCTGGGAAGATCATAGCTATTTCATTCTTCCATTCTGGCATTGTGGTGCAACAGGTTCAGCAGCTTATGTAGTAGCATCCCTTAAGAGCACCAGTTCCTGTCCAGGCGGCTTTCCATCCAGCCCCCTGCTCACATGCCTGAGAAAGCAGTGGAAGATGGCCCAAGTGCTTGGGCCCTGCACCCACTTTAGGGACCTGAATGGATTCCAGGCTTTGGTCTGGTCCAGCCCCCAGCTTCATGCATCCTCAGGGCCCGTAGCACGCTCTTCCACTGCCCGAGGGGGGACAGGGTCCAACAGCAGAACCCCACCCCTGGGGAAGGCAACATCTACCACTCAGAACTCTTGCCAGGTGCCCCACTTGTCCTCTGCAACCCCCTTCTCACCCTGACGCCCTGACCACATGCCTGGACCTGGGAGTCCTCATTCCGGGGGAGGGGGTCTTGCCCTAGGCTCACAGGCACTGGTGAGTTCTCTCCCCTTTTTTCCCTGAATCCCTCCTCCTGCCCCATGTCTGTCTTCCCAGGCCCCCCGGGGGGGGGGAAGGCTGCTGGGGGGTTGCAAGCTGACGTGCACATCACAGCCTCCTCCTGGGGCATCCTTGGGCACCATCCTGGGCAGATGACTGGCAGGGTGTGTGCAGGGGAATCCAACCTCCTCACCCGCCAGCCCCAGGGCAGTCAGGTCCCAGCTTACCATGGGTCCCCACAGCTGCTCCCCCCAGGCTGCTCTCCCCCTTGATAGGTCAGGGGAGTGGGCATTGGGCACAGTGAGACGGGGCTGCCAGGATCTCAAACACACACCCACGCCCCTGCCAGGAAAGGACTTCCCCGGCCCACGGGCCCTCCCTGTGCCACTCTCTCCCCTCACCCAGGTCCCTGACGCAGCTCAGAGTCTATGCCAGGCGGAGCAGGTGCCACAAGCGCCTTCATTTTCAGACTGGCGAGCAGAAGGGTCCTGCCCTTTGCCCTGGGTGGAAGTTTTGTTATCCATGGACCAGACTGGGGGGGGGGGGTGGCATGTAGGAGGGGGGAACAAGTGATAATGACCATGGCAGCCCCAGGGGCTGGTGACCGCCAGCTCGGGCCCTCAGCACGTCACAGCTAAGACGACGACACCGCGACTCGGTTTAAAAACGGGGAAACTGAGTCTCAGGCGGCCGGTGAAGCTCCCCGGGCTCCGAGGGGGGTGCTGCGGCTGCAGCTGGAGCCCAGCTTCGGATGCAGGGGTCAGTCGGGCAGGGTGGGCGTGACGCCGGGGTCTCACAGGCAGACCCTAACTCCTGAGGTAGCAAAGGGCCTTTCGGGCGAGCCACGCTCTCGCGGTCGCGGACGCTCACGGAGACCGGTGAACCCCGCGCTGCCATGGGAAGGCCTCGGGCAGCCCCAAGGCTTCTTTCCCAGGGAAGCCGAGCGGTCGGCCCCTCGGCATCCACGTGCTGAAGCCGGCAGCAACGGGCTGACGGGGTGGCTCCAGCGCCGGCGCCGGCCAATGGGAACCTAAAGGGCGGGGAGACCGTGACGTCAAGGTCACCGCCCACTCTCTTAAAGGCGCAAAGCTGGTCGCCCAAGTGGGTTTTCAGTGTTAGGCCAAATAATAATGAGTGTTAAAGGCAAGGTGGACGGAGTGGTCACCGGTGCCGGAAGGCGCTGGTTCGAAGCCCGGCCGCTGCACTTCCAGCGTACTGCTCATGGCTTGGGAAAGCAGCGGAAAGTGGGAACACCCGAGGGGACGGCGCGCGACCCACGCCGCTGGGCAAGCTCTGCCAGCGTCGGGAGCCCCAGGGTGCGGCAGGGCTGGGACCGAGAGAACGCGCCCCAAAAGCTTCCGGGAGCGCGCGGTGGGGAGCGTGGGCGGGACCGACCGGGTTCCCCAACTGCACGCCGGGTTCGCAGTTGGTCGGCCCGCGGGGGCGGGGCCGGCTGCGCCGCTCTCCCGGTCGGCCTCGGTGCTCTGCGAGGGCTCGCGGAACCTGCACCGGCCGCGGAGCCGCCATGGGCCCGCCGGGCCCGGGCCTCCGCGCCGCACGAGAGCCGGCTTGGAGCTAGGTGGGCGGGCCGGGAGCGGGGCCGGGGCCCGGAACGGGAGGGAGGGCGACCGAGTCGGCTTGGAGGGGCTTACGGCCCCGGGCGCGGGGAACCTGTGTCTCGGCCCGTGTCGTGGGCTCGAGCACGATGGCTGCTTGCTTGCGAGGCCCCGGGCCTGGCCCTTCCGGGCCCGGGAGCGCCGCTCGCCGTTTGCCCTCGCTAGCCGACTCCGGCCTCGCGGGGCTCAGGTGTTTGGGTTTGGGACCTGGGAGTCCAGACGGCTTGGACGCGCGTGGCGTGGCGCAGGACATGGCCCTGGCCGGTATTGGGGGGACCAGGGAGCCTACCGTCCCAGCCTCCTTCGACACCGTCGTTGGAGCGACCTTGGGCCTCCCTGGGCCTTGGTTTCCCCGGTGGCGCCAAGGGCACTGACAGGAGCTGTTTTACAAGGTTGCCCTGCGGGTGGTTGAGGAAATTGCTGTGCTGGGGCCAGAGGGGCGGATCAGGTGCACCCTCCCACCACCACCACCAAGGAGGATCCCTCGTGGGAGTGGGAGTTCTGCTAACTCGAGTTTCCTTCTTAGGACTGAGGGTGCAAGATGGCTGAGCAGGACCCCGGGGGCATTAGCCCCCTTCAGCAGATGATGGCCTCTGGCGCTGGCGCTGTGGTCACCTCCCTCTTCAGTAAGACCTGGGGAGGTGGGGCCTGAGCAGCGGGAGGAGATGGGGGCACGCCGGCCTAGGCCCCGGGGAGGGGCAGGGTGAATCCTGAGGAGCCTTCGGACCTGTCCCTCCCCTCAGTGACGCCACTGGATGTGGTGAAGGTCCGCCTGCAGGCGCAGCGCCCTTCGGTGGCCGGAGGTGAGGTCCTGCGCCAGCCCGGTGGGGGAAGGAGGCCAGGGGCTCCCCTCGGACCAGAGGGACTCTCCTCACGCGGCAGGGGGGCCCCTGTGTTTCAGGGCTGGCGCCTCCCTCGCGACTCTGGAGCCTCTCCTATGCCAACTGTGAGTGTGTGTGTGGTGCACCTGGGGAGGGAGTGTCCTCCACGAACTGCCAGCCAATCCTTCGTGGTCCAAGTGGGGACGCCAGGTGGGCTTCACTGGCCCTCCAGAGATGGAGGACCCCTTCTCCAGCATCCCCTTTGCTCCCACCTGCAGGGAAGTGCCTGCTGTACTGCAGTGGTGTCCTGGAGCCGCTGTACTTGTGCCCAAATGGTGCCCGCTGTGCCACCTGGTTTCAGGATCCTACCCGCTTCACTGGCACCATGGTGAGGGATGGCAAGGCCATCCTGAGCAATCCAGGTGGGGGGTGGCACACGCATAGGTGCAGGGCAAGTTGGGGGAGGCGGCTTAGCAAGGGGAAGTGGTGTCCCCACAAATAGGAGTCCACTTTGAGGGAATGGGGGACATGGCGTGCATAGGAGCTGGGCAGCGGCCAAGCTCACGTCCATCCTTCTGTCCCGGGCTGTGCCCGCTCTGCCAGGATGCCTTTGTGAAGATTGTGAGGCATGAGGGCACCCGGAGGCTGTGGAGCGGCCTCCCAGCCACCCTGTGAGTAGCTGGCTGCCATTGCTGCTGGCCCTTGCTGTCTGTGTGGGCAGGAGAGGGGAAGGGGTGCTTGGGAGGTTGGGGGGGGCTAAGCTGTGTCCACACCTAGGGTGATGACCGTGCCAGCGACCGCCATCTACTTCACCGCCTATGACCAGCTCAAGGCCTTCCTGTGTGCCCGAACCCTGACTTCAGACCTCTATGCGCCCATGGTGGCCGGCGCACTGGCTCGCTGTGAGCACAGCCTGTCCCTCTGTCCCCACGGGTGCCCGAGTGTCTGCCAGCCAGGGGTGGAGGGCCCTTCCTGGTGCCCTGAGGCAGCCCCAGCTGCACATCTGATGGGCCTATCCCCGCTTCCCTGCAGTGGGCACCGTGACTCTGCTCAGCCCCCTTGAGCTGGTGCGGACCAAGCTACAGGCGCGGCACGTGTCTTACCGGGAACTGGGCACCTGTGTGCGCACTGCAGTGGCTCAGGGTGGCTGGCGCTCCCTGTGGCTGGGCTGGGGACCCACAGCCCTTCGAGACGTGCCCTTCTCAGGTAGGGTGCCTGGCATACTGCAGGTGGGGTCTGTCTAGCTGGGAGGAGTGTGCCAGGCCTTCAGGAACTGAGCCATGCTGGGATCCTGTCATTGAGCTTGGCACAGTGGGCGTCATTGTCAGGGGGTCTGGAATCCTGTCTAGAGCCGCCTGTCTGATGGTATCCTTCCCCATCCCAGCCTTATACTGGTTCAACTATGAGCTCTTGAAGGACTGGCTGAGTGGTCTCCGACCAAAGGACCAGACATCTGTGGGTATCAGCTTTGTGGCTGGCGGTGTCTCGGGGATGGTGAGTTGGCTGGACCAGGGGGCTGAGAGGTGCCCCAGTTGCCATGAGCCGGTTGCCAGTTGCTTCTCCATCCTGTGCTGCCCTCGTCCCTCCCAGTGGGGGTCTGTGGGGCTCAGGGCTGGGGGAACTCAGGGCTGGACACTCTCTGTCCCCAGGTAGCTGCCACCCTGACTCTCCCCTTCGACGTGGTGAAGACTCAACGCCAGGTGGCACTGGGAGCTCTGGGAGCCATGCGAGGTCAGGGGCCGGGTGACATGGGGCAGCCCAGGGGCCAACCAGGGACCTTAGGTGTCCAACTGAATGGCCTTGCACTTTTAGTGTCACCCCGGCACACTGTCTCCACATGGCTGCTGCTGCGGAAGATCCAGGCCGAATCTGGCACCCGGGGCCTCTTTGCAGGTGAGTTGGCCGGTGTTAGAGGCAATGCCCAATGCTCAGCCCCTGACCTCTGACCCAGCCTCCCTGCCCTGCAGGCTTCCTTCCCAGGATCATCAAGGCCGCCCCATCCTGTGCCATCATGATCAGCACTTACGAGTTTGGCAAAAGCTTCTTCCAGAGGCTCAACCAGGACCGGCCTCACCACCCCTGAGGACTGTGCAAGAGGCAGCTAGCCAAGTGCCTTTTCTTAGCTCCCGGGGTGGGGTGGGGCAGGGCCTGCTCTCCTGTCCTTCCATCCCGAGCCCCAGGATAGGCTGCCCCTCTGGGCCTCCGAGGCCTTTGTCAGTCACAGCCCCTCTCCTATCCCCAAAGATTATCCCTTCCTCTCACCCTAAGTTCAAGACCAAATCCACTCCCCTGCCATTTTTGCCTTTGTGTTTGCTGGTGCTGGGCTGCCTCCTGAAGCCAGGGAGCCCTCCCCGGCCCAGCCTTGCCCCTGTGAACCCCTGAAGTGTAAAGATGATGAACTCGCACTCAGTGTCTGTGACTGGGGACCAGGAGTTGGGGGTGGGGTGGGGAAGGTGAATGTTGAAGGAGGTATTTGAGAGGGCCTGGGGGGCCCTGGAGCCAGCTTTGGTTGCCCTGGGCAGCACCCACGAGGGGACCTCCCCACTCAGCCACGGGACCTTGTGCAAGAAGAAAAGGAGCCCCAGTGGCGGGGCGTGGGCCCTTCTGGGTGAGCCTGCTGTATTACTGCCAGGCCATGGAGTCCTGCCCAAAGCAAGAGCTTCTGTTTCAAGAGCAAGGTCTTATTTCACGGGACCAACCCTTGCCTGGCCTGGGCAGGCTCAAGACCAGCAAGTTGCAGAGCACCCCATCTGGGGAGGCCTCACCTCATGAATTCTGAAGGCACCCCTCTCTGACGTGACTGGCTGCAGCTAGACTGCTCCCACGGGCACACAGCCCTGTGCCCTCCCCACCGCCTCCTGCCACACCACACAGATGGGGCCACCCTCAGTCCTCGGCTTTTTATTTGCCTGCTTCACCCCAGAGCCCTGGCTTGTGGGCTGAGGAGGGCGCAACTCCAGAGCACAAACAGGGTTAGGTTGGGCACAGGGGTGGGGGTGCTGAGGTGGGGTTCTGAGTGATGAGGGTCCAGCAGGGAGCTGGCCAGATGGCAGGGTCACCCAAATGAGTGACTGAGCGGCCTGCCCAGGGGCTCCCTGGGGCTTCTGTGCCACTGCGCCTGGGCCCAGCCAGCTTCCCTTGCAGGAAGCCAAAACAGGTGCAGGGCCCTTAACCGGGTGGCAACACTGTCTGGGTGTCCAGGTGAGGGGACTTGAGGAAAGGTGACAGGTGGCCATGGCCCTGCCCACACTGCTCCTCAGCTGGGGCTCAGGGTGGGGCTGCCCTCAGGACTGTCGCTCACCAGGCACTCGCTGGATTTGAAGCTCGCCAGGGACTTGCAGCTGGGAATGGAGGCCAGGGAGCCGCAGAGGCCCAGCATGGAGGGCGTGGGGTCCTTCCCTGGGGAGAGAGCGTGGATGAGGCGCAGCCTGCTTGCATGGGAGCCGGGAGGGTGCTGAAAGCAGCCTGTGGGGCACTCCCAGGAGGTGCAGTCTGCTGGGCCAGGCACCCTGCTCACTAAAGCTTGATGAGACACATGCCACTGGCCCCCACAGTGCCCAGGACACTGTGTTGGAACTGTCAGCTCAGCTTAGTTGCCCCCGAGGTTCATCCTCTGCCTGTTTATTAATCACGCAGGGAGCGCTTGCTCTGTTCCAAGCAGTGGGGGTACAGAGAACGGACGAGACACGGTCCCTGCCCGCATGGAGCTCACAGTCTTGGGGGGGACACAGACAACCACACACAGCGTTGGTGGGGTCACAAGTCCGTAGCCTGCCTTGTCTCAAGACCTGTGGCTGTCCAATACAGTGTGGTTATTTAAAAAAAGAAGAAGGAAAGGAAAAAGGCAGGGTATCCAGGCACGGGGGAGGGGGCGGGCACTAGGATAGGAAAAAACAAGCTGAAGCCAGGGGTGAGTGAGGTCAACACAAAATGCATGCGTTGAAGTCCTGGGCATTCACTCGAAGGGAGCCACTAATTTGGCTCTGAGCTTCCTGGCAGCCAAAGAAAAAGGGGGGGGAACAGTGGTCAGGCAAGCTGTTCACAGTGCGCAGGAGATAACAAATCAGGCTGAAGGACTTCCCGGTCTGTGTACCCCTGAGGGCATTGTGATCCCAGGGAACCCAGCTCACAGACTGGGCTCGGGGAAGGTGGTAGGCATTGGACAACTCCAAACCAAGCTCCCAGGAAGTTGCTAAGGAGGGAAGGGCAGGGCAAGGCCTCGGCCCTTCCTGGGGGAATGCTGTGTGTGTGTGGCGGGGGGGTGAGGGGAGCTCACCCATGGGGCCCCAGGGTTCCTCATCGCGCTTGCCCTCTCCCAGGCGCTGCGAGTCGGAGCTCAGGCTGGCTTCTGCGGACAGCGGCTCCGTGCTCATGAAGCTGTGCCTGAGGCAGAGTGAGGAGCTGGGGTTTGGACAGGGGTCTGCAGCCCGGCTACCCTCCCCCCACCAGGGCTAAGCCTGGCGGGGGGCCTTACCTTCGATATAGCTTGGAGTTGCTGGCGCCCTCAGCCCCGCTGAGCGTTCCCAGTGAGGGCCACTGGTTGACCAGGGGCGTGGTGAGCTCCTTGGAGCCTTGGGCCAGGGGGGCGTGGTCACCAGGGATAAGACCTGTCCTGGGAGGGGGAGAGGGGTCAGGCCTGGCTGGGAGGAGGGGGGACTCAGCAGGTGCAGCTGAGGGGAGCTGGGGGTGAGGCCTGAGCAGCAGGAGGGGCGTATTGTTGGGGCGAGACATCCAGATGGAGAAGCAGGCGATGGCTGGCAGCAGAGGGGGTGGGGACCCTGAACTCTGCAGGGAGGCCCTGAAGAGCAATGCGAAGGCCTGGGGGATTGTTCTGGAAGACCTGGGTGTGAAGAGTTTAGGCAGGAAATGCTCCAGGAACCCCTGGTGGTGAGTGGCGGGGTCACTGTGGGTGACAGTGGGTGGACCGCCTGCCGTTCAGATCAGAGGAGCTTGAGACAGCGGGAGCGGGGCGGTAGTGTGGGAGGGTAAGGAGTAACACAAGAGACCTCGGACGCGGGAGACCCTTAGGGAGAAACGCCTGCCGGTGCTTGTCACCAGCTGCTGTGGAGTCACCGTGGGAACCGGGGAGCGAGTTGGAGGAAGCCTCTGGGTCTTGCGCGGGGGACAATGGGAGGAGATGGAAACTGGGGCGGCTGCGGTCCCGGGCAGATGGCGCACTCACAGCTGCTCCTGTAGCTCCAGGATCACGCCTTCCAGCTCCCGCTTCTCGCGCTGGTTCTGCGCTGCTGCTTCTTCAAGCTGCAGCTGCAGCCGCCGGTTCTCCGCCTCCAGGTCCTTCAGCTGCGACTCACGCAGGCGCACCAGCTCTTCCAGGTAGCCCTGCGGGGCGCCGGCTCAGCTGGGCGGGAGGAAGGGGGCGCGGCTGCAGCCCGACCCCGGTCCCCACCCCTCGCCCAGCCCTCCTGGGTCCCCTGCTGCACCGCGCGCACCTTCTGCGCATAGACGATGCGGAATTTCTGCTCCATTTTGTGCCACTTGCTGTACCAGCTGTCCTCGTCGGTGACGAGCGGCAGGTAGGGGTGCTCGGGTGAGTTGTCCTCGCTCGTGCTGCTCTCGGCACTGTGGCGTTCCTCCTCGTCTGTCAGGTAGTCATAGCTGGCGGGAGGAAGCCGTGAGCATGGGTGGCCCTGCCCCGGCTCTTCCATGGCCGCCCCACCGACCTGCTCGGGCTGCTCACCTCTGGGTGAACTTTAGGTAGGGTGTGTAGTCGATGACCACGGGCGTCTTCCCGTCCAGGACTTCACCCTTCAGACAGAAACTGGGGCAAAGGAGCCATAGGTTGCGGGTCAGTTTGAGGAGGTCGGGCGTGAGGACATTGTGGGGTAAGTGGGTGGGGGCGGGGACAGCCGCCTGCAGCAAACCGACCCCACCTGAAGTCTATGGCGCTCAGGCCGATCAGCATCCCGGTGAGGACGGTGGCTTCCTCCCGCAGCATGATGGCGCCGGAGTCGTAGAACCGCCTGCAGGCAGCCGGAGGGGCCTGGCTGCGGATGTGCGGCTTCCCTCAGGAGCCTCCGCCCCATCCCCAGCAGGACTTGGCAGACCTACTCGTGTTCTAGAGGACAGGTTGGCCCCTGCCTGCTGGTCACTCAGCTGTGGACCCCAGCTCCCTGGGGCCCCTCTTCTCCATCCCAATGGACTGGGTGTAACCTCCTCTGCATCTCCCCTGCCCCCTCCCAAATTCAGAGTCAGCCAGTTCCATTAAGTCTGTCAACAAGTCTTAACTATTAGTGCCTGGGGTCTTGCAAAAACTTATGTAAAATGAATAAGTATCATGAACAATGGCACATGGATTTCAAAATGTTTTACATCAAAATTAAAGTACCTTTGCATGGTAGGTACTGAAAAGCTACACTGAGGTCAGCTTTGAAATAGAGGGACCAGGGAGAGAGTGCAGTGGAAGTGTCAGGCTGGGTGTGGCCACGCATTTTGGGAGATGCCTGCCTAGACAGCATCAGACGCCTTCCCCACGGGAGCACACGACCTCAGCTGGGGACACTGCATATGCAACTCCTGCCACTGTTTTGGGGTCTGTGGGGCTGTGCCCTACAGACAGCCATGACTCAAGGTCAGCAAGTCAAATGACGTGAGGCTGAGGCTTGTCCAGAGATATGTCCCTGGGTATAGCTGTGCCTGCTAGGAACGGTAGTGGACAATGAGGGTGGGTTTAGGTCCTAGGATTTGGCATGGAAGTGATGGGTCAGGTTGCCCAGTGGACAGCAGGGAACCAGGAGGCTGGCCATGTATTCTGGGACTTGTAGTCCAGGGTCTGAGGTTACTGCAGCAACTTGAGCCTGGAGTGTGTCTGGGCCGCTATCATGCACATTGGGACCTGTGGTCTGAGCTGTGAGAAGCCTGACCTGGTGGTCCGGGTGTCCCGCAGCGCTGTGGTGATGTATTCCGACATACGCTTCTCCATCAGCGCCACCCGGATCCATGCGCGACCCTGGAAGCACAGGCGCTGCATCTGCTGCCCCAGCCTGGGTGTGGCCTTCCTGTGGCCAGGACAGGAGGCGAGGGCCAAGGAGCAGGCAGCCCTCACCCCTGCCCCACCCCACACTATGCTCCTGCATTTGCAGGAGCCCCCTCCGCTCCCCTACCCCCGGCGCCCTGTGCTGTGTTCCTGAAGCAGCTGCCCCCGTCCCATGTTCTGCAGGTCCTCACCTTGGCTCGGGCCGTACTGATGTTCTCCATGTTCTCAATGCTGCTCACGCAGTTGTTGGGCACTTTGCTGCAGGCCA